CATTTGCTTTAACATCTCTATGCTGGAGAGCAAGTTTCAGTGTCTCTTCTGACATCCATTTTGACCCTTTCCTTCTTTTTTGTCTTCTCAATAACTTTTTGCTCTCTTCACGTATGATATTCTTGATGTCATCCCACAACTCTTCTGGTCTTCAGTCTTTACTGTTTAATGTATCTAATCTAATCTAATCAAAGACAATTTTGTTGCTGTTGTTGTTAATTGCCGTCGAGTCGATTCCGAACCATAGCGACCCTGTACAGTGTTTCCAAGGCTGTAAATCTTGACGGGAGTAGAAAGCCTCATCTTTCTTCCACGAAGTGGCTGGTAGTTTCGAACTGCTGACCTTAAGGTTCGCAGCCTGATTCGTAACCACTACGCTACTAGGGCTCCTTAATCAAAGGCAATTAGAGCCCTTTAAACAAAATGTTTCTTTGGTGAACTGCAAAACACAAAGTCCAACGTTCAAGCCTACTGGCCACTCTCCAAGAGAAAGATGAGGCTTTCTGCTCCTGCAAATATTTTTTTAAAGCCTCAGAAACTCTGTACAGGGTTACTAAGAGTCAGAACCAACTCAAAGGAACTTAACAACAACAACTTTAACAAATCTCTTAGCAGGAACCCTGGTAGCATTGTGGCTAGGTGTGGACCTGTTTACCTCAAGGCCGGTGCTTCAAACCCATGAGCCACTCTGAGGGAGAAAGATAAGGTTGTCTGCTCTGGTAAAATTTAAAGTCTCGTAAACCATACACAGGGTCACTGTGAGTTGGACTCAACTAAGTGACTGTGGGTTTGTTTGGGGCTTTAATCTGTTAGCAGGGAACGTTCTGCCTAATTTTGGTGCAAAACTCTAGAGTGAAAGGGAAGAAGAGGTTTTATAGGTAGTGAAAACAGAGAAATTTTAAGCGATTGGTTAAGTGAACAAAAGATTAATATATTAAATGAGATGACTATCATTTGGGGGCTCTGGTAGCGTAGTGGTTACGAATCAGGCTGCTAATCTCACAGACAGCAGTTTGAAACTACCAGCTGTTCTGCAGGAGAAAGATGAGGCTTTCTGTTCCCATAAAGATGTATAGCCTCGGAAACCCTGTACAAGGTGGTTATGAGTTGGAACTGACTCCAAGGCACATAACAACAACAACAACAACTCATTTGGGGGAGGGGTTAGAAACTCAAAAGGAGATCCTTTGGGTAGTTTGAAGAATTATTTTCTCTGGTTGATTTGACTTTGATTAAATTGTTAAAGTTGGTTGTTCCATGCCATTGAGTTGATTCCAACTCATAGCTACCCGGTATAGGCTTTCCAAGGACTAGCTGGTAGGTTTGAACCACTGACCTGGCAGTTAGCAGTCCAGTGTTTATCCTGCAGCACCACTCCAGAACTCCAGCTGAGACAGAAGGGCCCCTAAATGGCAAGCTGATATAAACTAGGTCCCTTGAGTTTCAATTAGTGTCTTTTAAAGTTTATGAGTATTTTCTCTGATACGGCAAGCCTTATTTTCTTCAAGACACTTATCATAAACGTGGGTCCTGCTTGGAAAAGACCCTGGCTAGTGCCTAAGGCTGTCTAAAGTTAAAGCCAAGAACAATAATGACGCAAAAACTTTAACTGTCCCTGGCAACACTTACTGACCGGTCCTTGTTCTGAGACCTTCAATCCATGAGGTCCCTCAGAACGTGCTCCTCCACACCGGGTTGTGCTCTCGGCACGTTCAGGTTGGAAGGAACTCATTACCAGTTGGCTGCCAGGGGCGTGTTGATAGCAGTCATCTTTATTGCTCTTTGACCTCTGTGAGTCTTTTTTTGCAGGGCTGGTATCATCTTTGCAAAAGGACATGTTAGCAAGGAATGAGCAAGTCCAACAACTCAAACAGGAGGTGAATCAACTAAAAAGTCAGAACAAAGAAAAGGATCACCAGCTCGAAGCCTTGAACTCCAGGGTGAGTGTCAGCATCCCCATGGTCTGACTGAAACCTCAGGACAAACGGAGAGAATGATGAAGACACACTCTCTATATTGGGCCCTGATTTTAAATTGTCCTCTCTCCTGTCACACCCTTTGTGAGATAAGACAAGTGCCTCAGGGCACAAGGAAGGTAGCTGTTGAGTGTGGCCAAGAGAAGGAATGGAACCTTGAAAGACAGTAGGTAAGTAGGTGACTAACTTCTCTGAATAAGCAAGATGCAGAGTCAACTCCAAGGGCCAGAGTGATCCTGTGGTGGAATGCTCTCCTTCCAGGTGGGAGACCTGGGTTTGTAATTTGATGTGAGGCTGATGCAAGACCCAATCTGCATTCTGTTCCACTGTGCATGGGGTCTCAGAAGTCTGAGGCTGACTCTTAACTATGACAGCCCACCACCCATCACAACAACATATTCAAATCCAGCAAACGTTTTCTAACACCTATTATAAATCCATTTTATTAATCCCAGCAACAAACCCATCTATGAGTGTTTGTTACCACCCCAAGAAATCAATGTTAACATTTTGTTTTCTTCCAGTCTTATCTCTCTATATGTTACATAGAAATATGTGTATAAGAAAATAGATTTATATGATTCACTTTTTTTAAACTTTGAATACTGTTTTTCTATGTTAAATGAAAACATGTAAACAATATAAAAGCATATCATTGGTTTTAAATGCTACATAATATACACTTATATGCACACAATGTAATGAGGCAGTCCCCTGTTGCTGGACACTTGAGTTGTTTCTTTGTGGTTGTTGTTGTTATTGTTAACCATGCTGTGAAGCATATTCTGGGATCAGCGGATTTTCTGATTTCTCCAGTCTTTGTCCTTAGGAAGCATTCCTGCAGTGGAATTTCTGGGTCAAAAACAATACGCATCTTTATGCTTTTAACATCTGTTGTTCTCTGCTCCCACAAATAGGACAGTTATGTCTTTGAGAGGTAATCTTTATAAAACACAGACTCCTGGTATGGCACTATAGGATCAGTACTAGACTGCAAACCACAAGGTAGGCAGTTCAAACCCACCAGCTGCTCCTCGGAAACCCTACACTGGGTTGCTATGAGTCGGAACTGACTCCTCGGCATTTAACAACAGCAACAATAACAAGATGGAAAATACTACTCAATATCCTGTGAACTGCCAGAAGAACAAGCAAATGTGTCTTGAAAGAAGTATAGCTCCTTAGAAAGAAGGATGGTGAGACCTCATCTCAGGTACTTCAAGCATATTAATAGGAGGGACCAGTCCCTGGAGAAAGGCATCGTGCTTGCTGGAAGGTCTGTGAAAAAAAAGAGGAAGACCCTCAATGAGATGGATTGACACAATGGCAGCAACAATGGACTCAAACATGACAACTGTGAGGAAGGCATTGGATCCGGCAGTGTTTTGTTCCATTGTACATAAGGTCACCGTGAGTTGAAACCAGACTCAATGGTGCCTAACAACAACAAAGAAACTTCCACATTCACCTAGTGATTCCTGAGGGCATCAACATATATCCCTGAAAACCACTCCCTGCTGATCTCAGAAAAAAGAATCCCAATTTCTCCACCCTAAGTACCAGACTCTACAAAGCTGGGTTTTCTTGTGGTTCCTCTAGCTAGTCTTTGAGAGAGACTTTAGATTGCTTATTCCTCAGAATTCATGAGAGAGATGAACTAGTTCCTGCTACATGACCCATTGTGCCCATTAGACACAAGTGACCTTCCTTCAGAATTTAGGTGTGTGATTGGATTAAACAGCAGGCACTATTTCTTGGGCAAACGTGGGAACTTGGAAACCTCAGACCGCGCCGTGTGGCTAAGTTTGGCCTCTTCATTGTGCTTTTTCTCGACAGTGCTCAGCGCTGAGAGAAGACTTAAAAAAGGAAGACACTCATAAGGAACACAGGGAAGCCCAAGAGAAAGAACTAAAACTCTGCAAAACTGTAAGTTCAACTCCTCATTTGTAGGTGTTCACAGAAAGCTCGACTTTGACCTTAGGGAACATCTGTGGGAAGCTTGGGTCATTAGGAAGCACAAACTCTGAAGTCTGTTGATGTTTCCGTACAATTCTTTGATTTCCTGCCTCTAGCCTCAAGGAGCTCTGGTAGCGTAGTGGTTACGAATCGGGCTGCGAACCATAAGGTCAGCGGTTCGAAACTACCAGCCGCTCCGCGGGAGAAAGATGAGGCTTTCTACTCCCGTAAGGATTTACACCCTCGGAAACCCTGTACAGGGTCGCTATGGGTCGGAACCGACTCGATGGCACATAACAACAACAACAACAAGCCTCAAGGAGATGGATGGGAAAAAAAACAACACACAGAATACCTGCTCTGCCAGCATAGATGGGCAATTGACTGTAGTTCCGGTACCCAGTTTCCCTAGAGTTGGGCTGAGATTGGGTCTGGGACAGAGGCTGGCCAGTGGCCACCACATGCTGTTCAAAGTTCATGGTGCCCTGTCCCTGGACCTGTAAATCCCCCACTTTAATTTTCCACTGTTAACAAGTTTGTCATAACTTTTTTTTTTTTCACTTTAAAATATGTTTCATTGGGGTCAAATAATATAACCTAAATTCTGCCGTTTAAACCATTTTTCAGTGTACAATTTTCTGTGGCATTAATTACATTTCACCATGACATACAACCACCTTCTCTTGGGGAAAATTTTCCATCTTTAAGGCAAAGTTGTTGTTATTGTTGTTACAACTCACACCAATGCTGTACAATGTTTCCAAGGAGCAGCTGGTGGGTTTGAACTGCTAACTTTGTGGTTAGCAGTCCAGTACTTATTCTACAGTGCCACACTGGAACTTTTTCAATAGATTATTGAAAGCGCTGGTAGTGCAACCTGGTGAATATAATTTACTATCTATTTTCAAAACTTTTCATCTTCCCACACAGGAACGCTGTACCAATTTTTTTTTTTTCATGTTTTTAATTACCATTATTACACCAATACATCGTGCACTTTATATATATATCTTAAACTTCATTGTCCATTTTCTTCAGTGATTCAAATACATACTATATTATCATCTTGAGAATACAAACAAACAACACCACATGGAGGAAGATTGAGAAAATAAGCTCCCAGGAGTTAGTCACTAGTGATTCCATAGAATTTCATTAGTGTTTTCTATTGGAATTTAAAACTGTCCTGCCATGGCTCTGCAAGAATAGAGCTGCCTGGAAGGGGAAGCCATGAAAAAATCATGGACCCAAAGTTAGAAAAGACATAAAGGAATCCAAGTAACAGACTAGACTTTGAAACTAGTTAGAACTCCCTTTCATCCGAGTGTACATCATTGCATCTTCCCATTTCATCCTCAAAGTTACCCCTTAATAAACTAAATCGAGAGCGCTCATTCATCTGAGGACGGGAGCTCTCTTCACAGCACTGTATAAGGAACGGTGGTGCACAGGGAGGGCCACTTGCTTTTACGGTATCCTGGGAGATGAACATCATAACTAAAGCTGTGACTCTCCAGCCCCATTCAAAAATGGCAATATACATACAGTAGCAGCATTCTACCACAGAGCTAGATGGACCAAAAAAAGAAATGTTTATGGAAAAGGCTCAGACATCCAGGCAGCAAGGCAATGTGAGTATTAAACAAAGAGCTAAGTGCCTTCAACCTCTCTGCTGTACAGATGAGGTTAAAAACTGTAAACTCTTCAACTTTAGAACAGATATAAAGTAAAGCTGTGCTTCATAAGCAGCATCTACAGAGAGCTGCAAGAAAACAAACACTTCTCTAGCACACAACTGGGAGAGCACAGACCCTTGAACTTCCTTCATCCAAGGCACCCCCACGGATCAAAGATGTTTGCGCTATTCAACAAACGGAAAAGAATCATGTAGGTGCCATCAACACGACCCTCTTATTGTAGGAAGAGACATGTAAACACACAAGAAGATGATACAGCTGTACCCAGCAGTGAATGTCTATCAAATAGGATAAACCTGTAGGGTATTTAGCAGAGACCCAGGAAGCCAGTCTTTCTCCAAATTAAATTCTTAATTTGTAAACACGAAGGTCAGGCTGTCCATTTTGTAGTGTCTTGGGTTAGTGGAAAAGGATGTTTCAAGGTTTTTGTTTCCCCTGAAATTGGTAAATAGGGCTTCACAAAGAAGCACACTAGGGTCATGAGATGATTCAGTTAAAGAAATTAAAAGATGGAGATGAATTTTGCAAATGTTAGAGGCTACTCCATCTCAAATAGACTCTGACCTTTTGAGCCCTGTATCGTCAACCACAGGATGGTAAGAACCGCTACTCCCTTCACTTAACAGTGAGAAGGAGATGGAAGATTCTCTCTTGACTGTACAGTAGGTGCCAACAAAGGGGAGTGACATGAACCAGCTTAAATACAATGGGAGAGCTATGAAAAAGATTGTCCTGGAATTTGGGTTCTGGGAAGCCAGGCATTTCTAACTTCCCTCATGGATTGGCGCCCTCGATGACATTTTTGTTCTTCACATCTGCCCTTAATGTCTTGCCAATGCCATTCAGAACTGGACCCAGTTGGGTGGTTGTGGCGCCTGGTTTGAAACAGAGCTGGATTCAGTGTTAAAGTCTCCCCACAAGTCATTGCTTACAGAAACTGGAGCTGGTGCTGATGTTGTGACAGGAACAGGGGAATCCAAGTCTAAAAGGATGTCTGCATCCCTGCCTCCGTGGTTAGACTTTGGGAGGGGTGGTGGGGTGACATGATTACTGATGGCCACTGAGGAGGTTGGTGGAGGAATGGAGACTTTGCCTCCAGGTGGAAGTGGGAGTGAGCTTAGGTCCCCAGGCTCTGAAGTCCTGGGCTTAGAAGCACCTCCTTTATTGGTTGTAATGTTCTGTGCCATCCTGGATCCGAATTACAAAGTACCGGCTGGAAGCTGTCACTGTCTCCACAGCAATGCCTGAATATTATTCTACTGATGCCTGAGCAAAGAGCTCCCCTGAAACCTTATCCTCAAGTTTGATATAGGCAATCTTCCCTTTTGAAGTGATTCGTAGGATACCAGTCCAATCAGGCTGGTCTAATTCCCAAGAGCTCTGGTGGCGTAGTGGTTACGAATTGGGCTGCGAACCGCAAGGTCAGCAGTTCGAAACTACCAGCTTTTCCGCAGGAGAAAGATGAGGCTTTCTGCTTCTGTAAAGATTTATAGCCTCGGAAACCCTGTACAGGGTCGCTATGAGTTGGAACCGACTCCACAGCACATAACAACAGCAACAATTTCCAGTCAGTTACCCTGTAATTGCGGTTGGAGGCCTGGGGTAGAATCTGGTAAACACTGACATCCGGCTTCACACTCAGGACTGATTCGCACTCCGACTCGGCCGCCATCTTGGCTCAGTTCACCAAGCCACTTGTACCTATTTTTAAAAACCAAACCAAACCACTGTCAGAATCAATTTGATTCCGACTCAGAGCAAACCTATAGGACAGACCAGAACTGCTCCACAGAGTTTCTGAGACTGTAAATCTTTACTGGAGCAAATAGCTTCATTCTTCTCCTGTGGCGTGACTGGTGGGCTTGAACCACCGACATTGCTGTCAACAACCCAGTAAGACACAGGGCTCTTTCTGTTTCCATTGTTGTTGCTGTTGCTATGTGCCATTGATTCACTTCCGACTCATAACGACCCTGTGTAGGGTTTCTGAGGAGCGGCTTGTGAATTTGAACTGCTGACTTCGCAGTCCAGCGCATTAACCCACAATGCCAGGGCTCCCTGTTCCCATTACACCTGCACTATTATTGACATAAAATTCCTATTTAAACCCATTTACGTATTTTTATTTATCTGCATCAATTTTATATCAATTATTAAAAACAACACATAAGTAAACTTAACCAAAAGTCCTAGGTAACATATGCCTAATATAGAAAGCAACCATAATATCACTGGAATTAAAATGCTTATTCCTCCCCAAGCCCCAAGCCTGATGTGCACCTTCCTTCATTGAGAATGGCTGGGGAAGGAGACAAGTTCTCTTCCGCATCAGGAACTCCCCTATTTTCGGCCTCAAATGGAAAAAAGGGAAAAAAGAATCAGTTCATTGTTCTGTTCTTCTGAACTGTGCCCATTGTATCTTCCAAACGGCTTGCCCGTGTTTAGATTGGCAAAACAAAACAAAACAAAACAAAAAAAACCCCACAGGTAAGGATTCCAATGAGTTGATGAATATCTTGTGTTTAATCCAGGATCTGTGTTAATTTTCAAAGGAAATTTTTCTCCTTTATCCAATACTTTCAATAACCAATTGAAAAAGTCTGCTTTGCCTTAAAGATAGAAAATTTTCCCTAAAGGAAGGAATTAGAAAAGCTAATATAGACTCCTGGTGTGATGCTGTAGGGTCAACACTGGCCTACACACCACAAGGTCTGCAGTTCAAACCCACCAACTGCTCCTCAAAAACCCTATACAGGGTCGCTATGAGTCAGAGTCAACTCAATGGCACTTAACAATGTAGACTAAGGAGCCCTGGTGGCACAAAGGGTAAGCACTCAGCTGCTAATCAAAAGGTTTCGGCTCTATGGGGAAAAGACGTGGCAATCCGCTTCTGTAGAGTGTCACCTAGAAAACCCCATGGGGTCGTTCTGCTCCGTCACTTGGGGCCACTATGAATCAGGGTCATCTCGATGGCACACAGCAATACCACAATCCCAAACAAGGTTTCTACTTCAATGAACCCAGTAAACTGGGTTCTAAGGACTCAGACCTCTCAGCCTTGTTCCTGCTGCCCCTTAGGAAAGCTGACTAGTCTGTTGTTGGAACTCTTCCAGCAAATCCAAGACATGGAGCAAGAAATGAAGAAACTCAAGGAAGAGTTGAGGAAGAGTTGCACTGAACATAACATGGTCTCCAAGACGATGAGAGAAAAGAACAAGGTAGGTATAGGTCCTTGCTATTAACCCCGCTCTACAGCTGAGAATGCTGAGGCTCACAGAGGCAAAGGAAGCTATTCAAGTTCACTCAGATAAAGTAGTTGTGCCTGAACTTGAACCCAAGTATGTCTGACTTCACAGTTCCCAGGTGTAGGTACCACCACTGCTTTAGTCTGACCTCAAGAAAATACCCATGGCCTTTTGTTTTTTAATTAGATTTCTGTATGTTCAGAGCTTAACATAGTGGGCATGGTGCTACCAAATTATTTTTTTTTGTTTCCTCGCTGCCATGGAAAAATACTTATCACTGCATGCTCTAGACCTGTGTTACCCATCACAGTGACCACTGGTCCCATGTGCTATTTCAATGGAAACTAAGGAAATGTAAATAAAATGTGAAAGTCATTTTCTCCGTTGCATTACCCACATTCCAAGTGCTCAGTCAGCATGTGTAACTGTATTGGAGAGTGCAGATAAAAAAATCCCCATTATTCTAAAAAGGTCTGCTACTCCAAACCAATGCTGAGTGACCTCTTTTGGCAGTTAAGAAGTTATGAAATAAGTTATGGATCACATTTTCTTTAAAAAATCATAAACTGAAAATGTGTTGGAGGGTATTGAGGATAGTGGGAAGACTATATTCTTTCAATTTGGAGTCTCTGCTTTACTGATGGGGTCCTGGTGTGGCACTGTGGGATAATGCAATGGACCGCAAGGTTGGTTTGAACCACAAGGTTGGTGGTTCAAACTCAACCAGCCGCTCCTCAGAAACCCTATATGGGATCACTATGGGTCGGAACTGACTCGATGGCATTTAACAACAACCACTTAACTGATAAGGACCTCTGGTAGTGTAGTGGGTTATGAGTTGGGCTGCTAACTTCAAGGTCAGCAGTTCAAATCTACCAACCACTCTGTGTGAGAAAGATGAGACTTTCTGCTCCCTTTATAGATTTACAGCCTCAGAAACCCTAAGCAGGGTGGCTATGAATCAAAATTGACTCAATGGCATTTAACAACAACCACCACCACAGCCTTACTGATCTGAACACTTCCATCACTGAGAACACTGAGACTATTTTAAGGTCAAACCTAGATGACAGATGAATCCTATCTGAGGGGGACTTGATGACCTGAGATGTAAGGACAAGTCCCTCAGATTTTTCTCCAACTTATCATTAATATGACTCATAGGATAATTACTAGAAGCTGAACCTGACCAACTTCACAAATTAAAATTTGTAATAGACAAGAAACTGCCTAGAAAGTCACAGTGTATTGATGATATTGATAATGACTACACATGTTGACCAAGTATAAGCAGACTTGGCAGAAGTAATTATAATAAAACCAACAGCTAAAGTTACACGAATTAAGATTTGTTATTGATTGAAACTTGAAAGAAAAATCAAATATTCTTGAAATTTTTACTTGTGTAAAATATAATCTGGGAACATATATATATCTATATATAAAATCTGGGGAGAAAATGAATTTAACAGAAATGAGAGCCAAAAAAAAACCAAAAACACAATGACAGCACTGTGATTGGCAAAAATTTGATATGTACCAGAAAAATTTATAGGTAAACCAAATCTTAATTGTAATTTACCCAGTAAAGACTGGATCCAGAGAAAAATAATCCCAGAGGAATAAAATGGAAGCATTTAGAACTCTCCCAAACCATTGGCTTAATAAGCTTCACTCTGGACATTTTTTTCTCAATGGAAATATACCTTGGTATATTTTTTATTAAAATAGTTGGCATCATGAATATAAACTAAAACTTCCCTCTGGGCTATACATTTTCCTTTAAACAAGACTTTAACTGCATTCCTGAAGTCTTAGTATATAGTATTTTCATTATTATGTAGTTCAAAATATTCTCCAAGTCTCATTGTGATATATTCTTTGATCCATGGGCTAAGTTATTTATTTCTAAATGTATGGCAATTTTCAGGTTTTGCCTTTTTGTTGTCCGTTTCTAGTTTAATTGCATTGTGTTCAGAGAATTTCCTCTATGTGATTTCAACGTACTGGCTTTAGTTGAGATCTCTTTTATGGCTCTTGCTGCATGTGGTCAAATTTGGTACATGTTCCATGGGTGCACTTGAAAAGAATGTGTTTTGCAGCAGTTGGGTGTATTATTTCATATGTGTTCATTAGATCAAGTTCGCCAACGTTGTTGTTAAAAACTATATATTGATCAACTTCCGGTTTGGGTGATAGCAGCGAAAACTGGGTAGGAAATGCTCTGTTGTGAAGGTACAGGGATCCCATGAAGGAAACGCTCATAGAACAATTCCAGAGATCCGGATCTACCATAAGAACCAGGACGTCAGTTTCCCACACTCACAAGTGAAAAAAATCAC